CCAGAAACAGAGCACAGCTGAGACATCAAGAGCAAGAGGAGCACATGGGGAGAATTTCCAGATGTGGCACCTCTTCTAACTTTTCACAAACAAAGTTAGTTGCTTTACTGATGTTAATGATGTGAAAAGATGTCAGAAGAAGTAGCATGACAGCAAGATCTTGAGACCCCTGAGCAAAGAGAGTTAGAGTGGGGACGCTCTATGTTTATTCCTACTTCCTTCCCCAGGAAGGCACAGCTTCTCTCAGGCTAATTCAGGCATATGACAGGTGCCAATCAAAACTCTTTTCTCACCCTGACTTCCCCATATTTGACCAAATCTTACTGCATCAAGGTTGACTTTGGGGATTTTCACCTCTGCCTCGCATTCTTTGTCACTTTTCTGATCATAAGTCAGTGTTAGGTGCCTGTCTTCTAAACTCATAATTATACCTCTGTCACACCATATATCACAGTGTTTTTAAAATGATTCATTAATTTTCTGCTTCAGTTTTTTATTCTGTTAGTTTGATAGGGAGTATACATTAAATGTTTTTCATATATTGGGTCTTAGATCCTGTTTCTTGGCATACTTCTGAAATATTTAGAATCTTTAATGTAATTTGTGACTTTATATATGTTAATGAGTGACTGTAGACTGGCAACTCCTAGGTAGCTGCAGGATGGGGCTGGTCACCTGAAAGATCAAAGCAAGATTAGAGGGTTGGGACTTTCAGATCCACTCTCTCAATCACTGGGGAGAGGAGAGGGGCCGAAGGTTAAGTTACACTAATTGTCAATGATTTAATCAGTTATGCATATTTAATGAAGCCTCCATAGAAACCAAAAGGACAGGATTTGGAGAGCCTCCAGATAGCTGAACACATGGAGGTGCCTGGAGGGTCGAAGACCAGGGAGGGGCAGAAGCTCCATGCTCCTTCCCACATGTCTCACACTATGCATCTCCTTATCTGTATCTTTTGTTATATTATTTATACTAAATAGGAAAATGTAAGTAAAGTATTTCCCTGAGTTCTGTGAGCCATTCTAGCAAATTTAGCAAACCTAATAAGGGGCTCACGGGAGCCTTCAATTAGTAACTCGTTGGTCACAAGCACAGGTAAAAACAACCTGGAGTTTGTGATTGGCATCAGAAATGGGGAGCAGCATGGTAGGACTGAGCCCTCAGCCTATGAAATCTGACCACATCTCTAGGTGGATGGTGTCAAAATTCAATTAGAGGACACCCAAAGTGTGCCTGCTGCTGAAGGATTGCTTGCTTGGTGTATGGGGGAAAAACCCACAAATCTGGTCACAGAAGTCTTCTGTAGTGGATGTTGACTGGGAATAAAGGAGATACTGAGTTTGTAAATCTTCTGTACAATAATATTAGATGATGTTGCTTAGCAGTGAAAGAGTACAATATCATTTTTTCACTGTATTTAGGAAAAGTGACCCTTTCTTATATAATATCAATAATTTGAATCTTCCTCATTCTTAGGGAAACAACTTTACCCCAGTCACAGCATAAGAAAGTTCTGTCTATACCCTTATTATCTGGATTTCTACCAAACCTAGTTGTTTCTTTCAATGTCTCTATACTTGTCTTTAGTTGTCACCTCTGGGACATGTTGCATTTAATTTTCATGAACTTATATGTCAGAAGAAGACCCATGTGTAGGGCACAATCATCTATGGTGGCCAGCAGCCCTGGGAGATGTCAGGCAGATACCTGTCATGTTTGCATCTCTACCTCCTGAATTTTGTGAGACCAAGGACGCTGCTTAGGTACTGGTGGGGTCATCCCCAAGAGTGGGGAATCTGGCTCCTCTGTCTCCTTCTGTGTCTGTTATGGCAGCAGCTGCTCTGACATTAGCTCCTTGTATCCCCACTGTGAACATAAATTCCACAGCCTCATGGCAGAACCATGTTCCTCTTCTCCCTCCTGTGTAGGCTCCTGATGCTCTTAGTTAGATAAGGGATAACTGGAAGATACACCCCGTGTTGGGATCATAGCTTGAGTCATTAACAGAGCCAGACATTGTCATATGGTGTTAACCTCTGATCTTGCCATTCATTAGAGCCTGATCTGGGTTTTAGTCCCTGCCACCTAACACCGTATGGCCTGTGGCCAGTTTTCAGTGTCTGTGCCACTGGCTAGATTACACCTCCATCACTTCTCAGCCTTGCTCTTCTTCAGGTTCCCTTTGTAGATAATGAGAGCAGAGGACAGTTTTTGTAGATCTTAATTTATCTCCATTCAGCCTTCATAACAGTCTTTTTCCTTTTCCAAGAAAGGGAAATACTTGCCAATTTTCTCATACTGGAGATCTTTCTTTTACTATCAAAACTCGGCAACCATCAGTACGTTAATGTTTATGAGGGGTCTTCAAAAATTTCATGAAAATATTCATATTATCTTCATATTATATTTTTACACAAACTTTTTGAAGTACCCTCATATTAGGATCCTCCCTTTTATTTATTTATTGCCTCAGTCCCATCTGCCCAGAGCTCCTGACATTACCCCTGAGCCTAGACTGAGGCCATAGACACATTATTGGGTCCAGGTCTGAAAGTCATCATCACTGTGCTGCCACTCTGTGATGCCTCCTCTGAATGACCACCAGCAGTAGTTTCAAATCTGGTTTGCCATTCCACTAATGTATCTTAACAGGACATAAACTATACAGGTTTATGTAGCTTGGAGAGGGGGTGCAGGACAGTAGGTACAGTTGGCATGGCTGCCTTGGGTGAGCTCTCAGTGAGCGTCCTCAGAGTGAAACAGGCAGTATTTTATGCCCATCATCTCAGCTTTTTAAGAAACCAGAGAAGATGTGTGTGTGTGAAACTACCATAGGATAGGGAAGACTAGTGCTCTGAAGGACTGATTATCTTGTTGCAAACCACTGAGCACAGTTTCCAGGGGCCTAAAAGAGACACATTTGGTAGTATATGTCACTCTCCCCTTGTGGAAAGAGAGGTCTATTATTAGTAACTGAAATTTAAGGTCTATATAAAGACTTCCCAGTCAAAATGTGCTTTATATATCAGGCTGTTTTTACTATGAGAATTAATAATGATTAGCAAGAGAGCTAACATTCCACTTTCTTATAACCCACTAGGTTTTCCAGAGGGGGGAAAAATACTAGAAGAGTGAGAAAATATCAGCTTCACAGAAAAACAGAGCTCAGGCCTACCCCTTTACCTCAATTTACCTCTCAGTCTCATGTGTTCTCCATTTCTTCCATGACCTTGTCCTGCATGTTGTCACCATATTTTTCCTAAGCAACTGTGCCTCCTTCCCAGTGGGTCTTTCCACTTCCACACAGGATCCATCTGACCCTTTACACCCAAGTGCAGAGCTAATTATACCCTCATTCTCCTTCAGTAATTAATATTGATAACTCTAACTGATAATTTACATTGATAATTTCTCCTTGCTCTTAGAAAAGAGTCCCTAAATAGTATATGATTTGGGATATATCACATTCCGTGGTCCCTGCAGGCTAATGTAACTAAAGGTCTAACAGCTCTGTACACACCGGTCACTGTGGCAATTTAAAACTAGAAGGTGCAGCATCTCTCATTAACAAGTTATTCATATATGCAGTTTGTTCTACCTGATAGATTTCTCTCCTTTCTCAGCCCATATTTTCTTCAGATTCTTCAGGATTCAGATAAATCTTTATGTTTTCAAGTTGGAATTCTTGGATAACCTTCTGTTGTCCCATTATATGTCTTCTGAACAGCATGTATGTCTCTCTGTAGAGTTTATCAAGTCTTCTCTTTTGTGTATATATATATATGTCTGATTATTTAATATATTATGAATGTTTAAGTGAAAGTCAAACTCATAATGGTTTAAACCTTCTGTTGATCTTCATGTTTTAGATTTAGGTACAGTTGCTAGCATATAATCTATCATCAATAATAATTTGCCAGAATATTTTGTCTAATATTTTGAGACTTCTCTCCCAAGACAGCATCAGTGTCAACTGTGTTTCTATTAACCAGGTCTCTGTCATGTGTGATCCTATGAATTTGTCTATATCACCTCCTTCCCCACCATCCACCTGCATATACATCTTTAGGCTCCTATAAATGTCTGTGGTAAATTTCCAGGAAGAGTCTCCACAGAATCTCCTGGCTGCTAGGGATTTCTCTACTTCCATATCCCCTTACTCTGGGTATTAACTGGGCCTTTGAAGTTACCTCCATTACTCTTTAACTCTGTGAGGGAGCAGAAAGACCCTAAGGGAAAAACCTGAATATAGAGTCACTACATCTCAATGTGTCGAAGATAAATGTTTTTTATAAGTCACTTACTATGTCTGTTTACACATTTGATGGAAGAATTTGCTCTCACTATAAACACACAAGCATTATCATTTATTGTGAGGTGATAAGTAAAATCTTTGCAGATGTACAATAGTGATGGGGTTGGTTACACTGTAGATGAACTGCTCAGGTTAGGCATTTATGATATTATAATATGTAGGAAGAGAGTTTACTGAAGTCATACTAATATCAGAGGAACTCTCCATGCTGATAGAAGAGCAAGTGTGAAAGCTCTGAGGCATAAGTAGTTTGCTGCTTCTAACGATGAAGATTTGTTGGTGTGGGAAAGAAAAGGCAGGATAGGTGGTGGGTCAAACAAAGATCTTGGTAGAAAAGGCTTCAGGCTGTCCTTCTATTCAGTGAAAGTAAAGAAAAATAGCAACCATCACACAGATAAGGATAGAATTCAGCATGTGACATTAAGTGAGAGTAAAGTGTTTAAAATTATTACGAAAATCTGTTTCAACCAGGTCAACTAACTCCTTTGTTTTTCTACATCTCTTATTTTTTTTGTCTTTTAGTATTTTGGTCTTGGCCCATTTTTTGTTTCTGCACAAACGGTATCCTTCATATTCCTACTTTTCTTACTCTGCCCCCTTTCAACCTTCCCAATCATGCAGGAATCTGTGAACAAGAGGAACCTCAGATGTCAGGACAGGCAGGAGCAGGAGAGCAGTTGCTATGGCTTCAGTATTCCAGGAGAATCTGAAGGAGAAGGTGACCTGCCCCATTTGCCTGGAGCTCCTGACAGAACCCCTGAGCCTTGACTGTGGCCAAAGCTTTGGTCAAGCCTGCATCACTGCAAACCAGGCGATGTTTATAATCTAAGAACAGGGGATCAGCTGCCCTGTGTGCCGACTCAGTTACCAGTTCGAGAGCCTGTGGCCTAATCAGCATCTGGCCAGCATATTGGAGATGCTCAGAGAGGTGAAGTTGAGCCCAGAAGAAGGGCAGAAGGTAGATCACCGTGCACACCATGGAGAGAAACTCTTAATCTTCTGTAAGGAAGATAGTAAGATCACTTGCTGGCTTTGCAAGAGATCTCAGGAGCACTGTGGTCACCACAATTCCTCATAGAGCAGGTTTCCCAGGAATATCAGGTAAGAAACAAGGATGAAGAGAAGACAGGGAAGAAAGTGGTGCCTGATGGGCAATCTCCACTTTGTCTTCTACTTTAAATAGAAGACATTCTATTTTTTCTATTCTTGTCATCATAAAATTGAGCCTTGAGATTTCTTCCCATCCCACACTTAATGTTCCAAGGCCTGAAGGACCTCTCTGTTCACTCTACACAATTACAAGAGGAGAAGCCTAGAATACATGCACTTCAACAGAAGTAAGTTGTTGGCTTTCTTGTGCTAGATGTGTACATATTTGGTGTCCAAGAAAAGCTCTGATTACCCCCTTCAGCAGGAGAATAACTGGGGTGGGTTGAGATGTAAGTTGTTTTCTTGTTGCAGAATCAGGTTCTTCTTCCAGGACAAAAAGAATCAGTACAGTCTTGGCAAGGAAATGGTGACTTCTAATATTTGAGACTTAAAGAACAAGAACACATTCACTACCTCTTGTTTTCATCCAAGTCATAGATTCTTATTGCTGCTCCACAGTTTCTGTAAATTCTAGTCTTTTCTGAGGTCAACCTGGTTTGTTCCATGTTTATCCTCTATCCAGGTGCAGAGAAAGCTCATAGCTTGACTCTGTTGTGATTTTTTCTTTCTCACAGGAAAAGCTCCAGGCAGCTCTGGAGAAGCTGAAGAAGCAGCAGCAGGAAGCTGAGCAGTTGCAAACTGATGTTCAAGAAAGGAGAACTTCCTGGAAGGCAGGAGAAGACACTTGCTGAGGGAGATAGCCAAAAAACTGGGTGGGACCTAGGGAAGGAGCCCCCTTCCTCTTTGTTTTCTGACAGTTGATAAGTCCATAAGTCATTTGATTAGTGATTAGTCCTCTTCTTTATCCTTTCCCTGATGGGGATGGGGGCCAAGGAGTGAATATGTCACAAATGAACACAGCTATTTAGAGGGAGCTATTCACACGGAAGGACTCTCTGGTCAGGATGGCTGTTGAATCCTGTGTTCCATTCCTGTGGTCTTTTTTGAGTCTGTGATGGTGCTGGGGAAAGACATTTGACAATGACTCGTGGTTCTGTCCTAAGTGTTCAACTTTGAACAGGGTTTCAGGGGGGGGAGTGAAGAGTAATGTGGGCAGGCATGAGTGTGCTGGACAGCTGAGTGAAAGCTCAACCACAGCCAGTTATTCTTTTTTGGATCAATACTAGCCTTGTTAATTCCATCTTAGGTCATTGTTTTGGAATGACACGAAGAGAAAATAATAGTAATAACATACTTTCCTAAGAACTGCTCCCCTGCTTCTATTTTATGTCCCTAGGAGAGATCTCCATAGAAAATAGTTTTTTATTTATTTTTATTATTTTTTTTATTTTGGCTCCCAGCCTCTGCCTGATAGTCTGAGAGCCTTTTCTCTTTCTCATCCCTGAAGAATCAAATACAGTGTGAGAGAGAATTGTCCAGAGTTTGAAAAATTGAGAGGCATCCTGAACTGTGAAGAGCAGAATCAGCAGCAAAAGCTGGAGAAAGAGGAGGGAGATATTCTGAAAATCCTGGCAGAGTCTGAAAATGAGCTGGCCCAGCAGAGCCAGGTAGTGAGAGATCTCATCTCAGATGTGGTACATTGATTGCAGGGGACAGTGATGGAGATGCTGCAGGTAAGACTTGGAAAGAAGCCCCAGCAACTGAGATTCAGGAAAAATGAAGACTACTTTCTTCTGTTCGGTGTTTCTGTGTCCTTTCTGGTGGTGATAATAAAGTTATTTCTGCCCTGCATTACCACTTTTCTTCATCAATTTCAGAAGTTATAGGAAAGATCCAGTGTGTTAATAACCAGGGAAAATTCCATTTTAAGAAATTTTTCAAGTGCAGTGTGAAAATTTGAGCTTGGAGAGAAGATCCATTGTGTCCATTGCTGTGTTATATGTAGGTCTTTGATCTAATGTTGAGCATGTTTTCGGGCAACTTTTCGTCATTGGCAAACAAATGCACTTCAGATTATGAGACAGCTTTTTATTTTTTTTCTCATGTTAAATAAGTTGAGTCTTTTTCTTTATCTCCTGAAAAAATTGTGAAGGACTGGTTTTATTTCTTCTTTAAATAATAAAAGGAATTCACAAGTAAAGACATCTCAGACCTTTTTTATTTTTCTTTTTGAAAAATGTAAACATTTCATTTATTTATTTTTTGTTTGTATTGGGATTATTTAGATTGTTTTACATCTCCTGAGTCTGCTTTTTATTTCTCTGTAGGAATTTTTAATATTTTATCTAAGTTCTCAATTATGTAGGCCTAAAGTTACTTATAAAAATTATGTATAATATGCCAACTTCTATTTTTTAATTTTGTTAACTTTATTTATTTTATATGTATTTATTTTTTAAATTAACGATATATAATGTAGTTGGTTTTCATGCCCTTTACCAATTCCTCTGTTTCCCCCATCCATCTCGCCCTCCCACTCCCACAAACAGCATATCTGTTAACTTATCTTAACAAATTCAAGGAATTATTACGATAGTTTTGTCTCATCCCCTCATTTATTTGTTTGTATATTTATTTATTTATTTTTATTAGCTCCCACATATAAGTGAGAATGTGCAGTATTTCTCTTTCTGTGCCTGGCTTATTTCACTTAACATAATTTTCTCTAAGTTCATCCATGTTGCTGTGAATGGTAGTATTTCATTCGCTTTTGTGGCAGAACAGTACTCCATTGTGTTGATGTACCACTTTTCCTTATCTACTCATCTGATGGTGGGAATTTAGGCTGTTTCCAACTCTTGGCCATTGTAAATAATACTGCAATAAACATGGAAGTGCAGGTATCCCTTCAACATGATGATTTCCATTCCTTTGGGTATACACCCAGCAGTGGGATTGCTGAATTATATAGTAATTCAGCCTGTAGTTGTTTGAAGAAACTCCACACTGTTTTCTCTAATGGCTGCAGTAATTTACAGTCCCACCAAAAGTGTAGGAGGCTTCCCTTTTCTCTGCATCCTCACCAGCATTTGTTTTTCTCTATCTTTTTGATAATGGTCAGTCTGACTGGTGTGAGATGATATGTCAAGGTAGTTTTGTTTTCAGTTTCCCCAGTACTTATTGATGTTTAGTATTCTTTCATGTGTCTTTGGCCATTTGTATGTCTTTCTTTGAGTAATGCCTATTTAGCTCCTTTGCCCATTTTTTAACTGGGGTACTCATTTTATTGCTGTTTGAGCTCTTAGTATATTCTGTATATTAATCCTTTGTCATATGTGTATTTTGCAAATATTTTCCCCCACTCTGTTGGTTGCCCTTTTGCTCTGTTAATTGTTTCTTTTGCTGTGCAGAAGGTGTTTAGTTTAACATAATCCCATTTGATTATTTTCCTTTTGGTTGCTTGTGCTTTTGGGGTCATATTCATAAAGTTTATGTCAAAATCCTACTTCCTGAAGTGTCTCTTGTATGTTTTCTTTTAGGTGTTTTATTGTTTCAGGATGAATATTTAATTATTTAACCCATTTTGACTTGATTTTGGTATATGGTGAGAAGTATGTATCTAGTTTCATTGTCCTACATATGAATATCTAATTTTCCCAGCATCAGTTACTGAAGAGGCAAAAGAGTTGCCTTTGCTGAAGATCAGATGGTGTAGGTGTATGGGCTGATTTCTGTGTTCTGTATTCTTTTCCATTGATCGCTGTGTCTGTTTTATGCCAGTATCATGCTGTTTTGGTTACTATAGCTTTGTAGTATGGTTTAAAGTCAGGTAGTGTTATGCCTCTGGCCTTATATTTTTGTTCAGGATTGCTTTGGCTATTTGTGGTCTTTTGTTATTCCATTTGAATGTGAAAATTGTTTTTTCCATTTCTGAGAAGAATGTCATTGGTATTTTGATAGGGATTGCATTGAATCTGTAGATCACATTGGGTAGTATGGACATTTTCACAATGCTAATTCTAACAAGGCAAGAGCATGGGATATCTTTCCATGTTCTTGTATCCTCTTTGGTTTTTCTCAGCAGTGGTCTGTAGTTCTCACTGTAGAGATTTTTCACATGCTAAGCTAACTTTACTCCATGGTATTTTATTTTTTTGGTGACTATTGTAAATGGGCTAGCTTTCTTGATATCTTTTTCTGCTAGTTCATTTGTTGGGGGGAAAATACTACTGTTTTTTGCATTTTCATTTTGTATCCCACAACTTTGGTGAAATCATTTTTCAACTCTAAGAGTTTTTTTTGAAGAGTGTTTAGGCTGTTCTATTATAGGATCATGTCATCTGCAAACAGGAATAATTTGACTTCATCTTTTCCAATCTGGTTACCCTTTATTTTTTTCTCTTCTCTGATTGCTCTGGCTAGTATTTCCAATACTATGTTGAATATGAGTGGAGAGAGAGGACCTCCTTGTCTTGTTCCTATTGTTAAGGGAAGAGCTGTCAACTTTTCTCCATTTAGGATGATATTGGTAGTGGGTTTGTCATCTATGGTTTTAAGTGTGTTAAGCTACCTTCCTTCTATACCTAATTTAAATTCATTGAAAGTCTTCAACAGATATTGAGTTTTGTCAAATGTTTTCTCAGCATCAATCGAGATGATCATGTGGTTTCTATCTTTGACTTTGTTGATGTGGTGTATCACATTTACTGAGTTGCTTATGTTGAACCATCTTTGCATTCCTTGAATGAATCCCATTTGATCATGGTGTATAATTGTATGTATGTGTTGCTATATTCTATTTGCTAATATTTTATTGAGAATTTTTTCATCTATATTCATCAAAGATAGTGGCCTCTAGTTTTCCTTTTTTCTATCTTTGTCTGGTTTTGGTGTCAGGGTGATATTTGCCTCATAGTATGAGTTTGGGAGAATGGCCTCTCATTCAATTTTTCAGAATAGTTTGTAGAAAACTGGTATTAATTCTTCTTTAAAGGTTTGGTAGAATTCTGCAGTAAAGCCTTCCTGTTCCAGGCTTTTCTTTGTTGGAAGACTGCTGATTACAGCCTCAGTCTCTTTGATTGTTATTGGTCTGGTTCATATTTTCTATGTCTTCTTGGTTCAACCTTGGTAGTTTTTGTATGTTCTAAAATTCATCCATTTCTTCTAGGTTTTAAAATTTGTTTTCATATACTTGTTTATAATAGTCTCTAATGGTTCTTTGTACTTCTGAAGTATCAGTTGTAATATCTCCTTTTTCATTTCTAATTTTTTAAATTTGTGTCTTCTCTCTTCTGTTTTTAGTTAGCTAAGCTAATGGCTTGTGAATTTTATTTATCTTCTTGAACAACCAACTTTTTGTTTAATTGACCACTTGTATCATTTTTGGAGTTTCTATTTCATTTAGTTCTACTCTGATCTTAATTATTTCTTTCTGTCTACTAACTTTGAGTTTGGATTGTTCTTGTTTTTAGTTCGTTGAGGTGACATGTTAGGTTGTTTACTTGCCATCTTTCCATTTTGCTGATGTAAGCATTTATTTCAATAAACTTCCTTCTTAGTACTCCTTTTGCAGTATCCTACAGGTTTTGGCATTATGTGCCATTATTTTCATTATTTTCAATAAGTTTTTTGATTTTCTTTTTAATTTCTTCTTGGACCCATATGTCATTAAGTATAATGCTGTTTAATTTCCACATATTTGCATAGTTTCACATTTTCATTTTTTATTGGTTTCTAGTTTAAATCAATTATGGCCTGAAAAAGCACATGGAATAATTCCGTTTTTTTTTTTTTT